CAAATACAGCTCCATCTGACAAACCTTTGCATCATTTTAATTTTTATTCCTTTGTACATGCAAAAAAATCACTTGCCATTTAGTTTCTCATGTACATGTACTTTAAGATAAGCATGTTAATAACCTAAAGTCAAATAGAAACAATCTTATTTACAATATGGGCATGTTTTATTCCATGACATATGTGCAATTTTATAAAAAGGGGGGTATGGATCATATATTTTAAATGCATATCCTGTTATTTCACAATGGATTTGATTCATATAAAAAGGATTTAAATTTTGTCTTTTTTTCAAATTTTAAACACATTCATCTCAAATTTCCATGAATTCATCCATCCAAGACGCTGCTAGAATAAAGATCTTAAAACTGCAGTCTAAGTCTTTTGCAATTCATTATATTGTATTTCTTTACAGTAAGATAAGATGCTACAGAGTGAACACTGTGGGTTGTATGTTGCTTGAATGTCACACATGATAAAGCATAAATGTTATATTTGAAGTTCACAGTGGGTCTGGAGACAATAAGTTTTAGATCTTGTTTCTTTTCAAAGCTGCCATTTAGACTCAAGGCACCAAGGTGTTTCAAGGCACCAGTGGTGAAAATCTGATTTTATTTTCCCGTTTACTTATTGTCCGTAAATAAATATGTACTCTAAAACATCTATACTCAAATGTGTTAAACATGTTGTTTTTAATATATATCTGGTGGAAGAAAAAGATGTGTGGTTTACACAACCAAAACAAATCTCTTCTCTTTTGAAATATTTTCTTACAGTATTTAGCATAAATTCTTTGAGGAAGATTCCTATAGAAGAGAAAGTGCTAACAAATTATCCTCTGAGAAAGAGAGAAGACAACGTATCTCTCTGAAGGCCACATCACATTCTGCACGTTAAGGCTTTGGTTGGAATTTCAGATACATATTGCACTAGAATTAAATTTGCCAGTTTAAAAAAAAAGGATGATTTTCTAAACCCCAGAAAAATGGCAGCTATTTATTAATAGTAGTAGTAGTTATAGTAAGAAATGTTATCTGGTATGTGCTTATAACAAGCACAGTAAGATAAAATAACTAAGCGGAGTACAGGTATTTTTATTATTTGCCTGCTCTTTCTATTCCTGGCTGACTATACTTCTTCACATGTCTTGACTAATTTTTCCTAAACTGGTTCTTGCTGGACATTTTGGGACTCTAAGTCCTGTTATTCCTAATCAGCAATGGTCAAGGTGATTAAATGATGTGAGATTTGGAACTGACATCCCACTGGAGCCAGAAAGCACCAGGTTGAAGAAAACTGATCCTGATTTACTGGTAAAAGAACAGTGCTCTATAACCTTATTTATAATGGCCAATCTACTAACATAAAAGTGAGTGAGTACCAGTATGTCAGGCTCTTTTGTTGATAAATCAGTTTGTCCAACTTTTCTAGCTCAAAAGGTTCTATTACATTAACTACTGCAATTGCAGTGAATTTGGAATTTCTTTCTGCAATATTCCCTTTAAATGCTTAACAAAAATTGATTATCAAAGTACATATACAAGATGCAGAGACCTTGGAGCATTTAAAAAAATCTGTGTAATACAGAAAACATAAATATTCCAGTTTCTGCAACAAAATGTAAATAATCATTCAATTATTTTTTTTCCGTCATGAAGTTGTTTATAATCCACACATACATACTGTACAACGGCAATCCGATTAAAACTGGAATGATTAATCTGTATGAATGTCAGAATAAGTATATACAAACAGGGCAACAGTCCACTGTGAAAAATCTAATTGTAGACTATATATCACTCTGAAAAGTGCTGAAACTTATTTGTGATTGTAGTTTATGTAAATCGCTGATATCAGCAAAATTTGTGTGGGTAAAGGTTTTGGATCCTGAAAGGTATTCATTGCATACCAATTCTGTCACAGAAGTGGGTTCAAAGAATGAACCTCAACACTAAGACAAAGTCTATTTCAAACCAAAAAAGTAAACTTAAAAACAACATACACACACAGAGAGAAAATGTAAAGTTATATTCTCTGCTCTCTTTAGTTCCATCCTTTGTTTATCATAAACGGGAAATACACAAAAGGGTATCTTTGCTGATAAGGCCACTGATGAACGCTTTCGAGTGTATCCTCAGACCTTTTCCTCAAATACGTGAGTGTACTTTTCATGTATCTGACTTAATCTTACTTTACCTTTCCACAATTGTTGTGCATTATATTAAACACATCGATTCATCACTATTTCTGCTTCTTTCCATCTCATGACATTGCTCAGCAGCATCTGCAGAGGTGAAGTCAAAAAGAGTCAAGATAACAGTCGTGGCAATGCAGTTGAAACCCTGCTTCTCTGTATGTGCATTGCAATGTCACAACGGGTAGAAAGAGGGCGCAGGTTCGATCATGCTGCAGTGACTGCCATTTTGATTTTTTTTTTTTTACCTCCCTTACAGATGCTGCTAACATCATTTGAAAGATCACTCTCCTGTCTCTACCTTGGGAAGTATTAAGCAGATAAAACGAGAAGATCCTTGAAATTAAATCTTCATAATTTGTTTCCCCTAAGTAGATACTGTATTTGTTTTATTTTATGATTGCTTATTTATTACATTTATATGCTGTCCATCTCCCCATCAAGCCACTCTGGGTAGCTTATCGTGTGAATTTCAGTACAGAATCATAAATTCTTCAAGGATTCTTGCCATATGTTGATATCAGTTAGGTAGAATGAACATTGTAAATTGCCAAATCCATTTATTGTCAGGCAGGATTCCAAAAGCATAGGGTCCCAACCCTTAATAACCAAGTCTTCTCTTGCACCTTTTCAGGTAAAGAAAATCCTGTGAAAGGAATGATCATTGCTGCAAAATCAGAACGTAAATACTAAACTCTTCTGAACCCAGATTGAAATCTTAATGAGCGCTTGTAAAAGCTCAACTGAATTTGTTCTATAGTTCTACAGTTAGACATTTCCTACATAGAGTTGGATGTTTGATTAGTAGCTGCCACGCAAAAGAAAAGAAAAGCTGTTTGAAGCACATGTGAACCAAATAAAAACTTCTCATACTCAAAAGTTTCAACTTGTACCATAATAAAAATGGAGGTCCAGCACATAGATATTAGCAAAAAGTCACAGAAAGTCTTAGTGGCATTCTTTGATACTTGGATACACTAAATAATTGCTAAGTATCGGTCTTTCATGGATCAAAATACAGGCTTTTATAGTAAACATTACATATAAATGGGAAGCTTTGGGTACGATACGTCTTGGAAGGGAGGTCTAATAGTAGAACCATTAGTGAAGTGATGGTGTAATCCTCAAGATGACAATGATGCTCAATCATCCCAACCTAACGACTGAGTGCACAGTATTTTTCTTTTTTTAATTCTCCACTTCAATCCAATTGAGCCCAACAGCTAGACTGAGATGCATTTGTGAAAGCTGTAACGGAAGTTATAAGCAATCTTGGTGGCAACGTTCTTTTGGTCTCTGAAAGGCTACAATTCATTACAGATCAAACAGATTGCCTGGGAAAATGTCACGTAATTATCCCAATCTCCTCCTAGAGGTGGAATGTACCAATTACTGTGCCACACTTTTTTTTTTTAATGGTCAAATGGGCCAGATCAAATCGATCAGTAATCTCACAGAGATTACAGTTAAAAAGTGAACCCAACTTCCATCCATAGAAATATGGAAGATTTTCATCTCCAGGAATTACATCTTAAGAATATTATGCTATAAAGCCAAGGCAGCTTTTCTCTCCTTGTTGATGACAAGGCTGAGCAAAACTGCAACAAATGATAGTTTCAAGAAGTTCTGAAGATAGTTTTCAAGGTAAGGATACTTTGGCACTTAATTGGAAGCACATTCCACTGGTATGGAACTAAATGCCAAGAAATGGGGAATAAGTTCTCAGTCACCCTGTATCTAAACCAAGGTAGGCAGGCCATTCAAAACAGGTCCTTGAGCTTCACCAAATTAAATGGGAAAATAAAAAGAAATAACTTCATCTAAAGATGGAGAGCTGTGCTCAAATGTGCTGTTGAAGAAGGAGCGTTGTGACATGTGGAGAGGTTCAAAGGACACATAAGGACAACAGTCATCCTGAAAGGGATTAGAAGCCCACTTCACCGTGGGATTGGAGGAAGTGGTGGAGCACCTCTTTCTCTGCGACTGGATCCACCTAAAGAAAGAGAAAGCAAACCTCACAGTCATCTTTTATGATGGATTTATCAAAATTTATATATGTGTTCTTTGTTGGATGGAAACAGGTTTGAAAAATTAAGCATATAGGACAGGGGTCCCCAACCCCCGGTCCGTGGACCAGTACAGCCGCGGCATGTCAGCAACCGGTCCGCACAAACAAGCAAAGCCCCATCCACAAGAGGCAGGCAGCACACAAAACCACGCCCCCTCCGGTCCGTGGAAAAATCTCTCTCCACAGAACCGGTCCCTGGTGCCCAAAAGGTTGGGGATCTCTGATATAGGAAGTTCTTTAAAAAGGCATCTTAGTAAGTGGTATATGGTAAAATTGCGGGGTCAGCAATGGCAGCATTCTTAAGAGAGACGGCAACAGAGGGCGGAATTTCCATTGTATTTCAGCTCAGCATTCAAAATCTGCCCCTTCTCTAAGTGCACTGTGATATTACAAACACATATGAAATGGCAGAGTCTACGCTGTGATACTATGACACTTTTGCCACTCTGATGAAGAAAATGGAACGCTCTTGCAGATAGCAGTCTTTTCAGGGGACAGGCCCCTTCATGCAACTCTGTACAATGTTCTAAGCCAGGGGTCCCCAACCTACTACCGGGCCTGCTACCTTGGAACCGGCCGCGTGAGTGGCGGGTGAGCACCCGTGCATGCAGCTCCATTTGAGCAAGTGGCGGGTGCTCACGCTCATGCACGAAGCTCCATTTGTGCGAAGGGCAGACGTGCATGCCCAACGTTTGCACAAATGGAGCTGTGCATGCTTGCGTGCACGCCTGCCACTTACACAGAACCATCCCCCCCTCCCGGGGGTACCAAACCTGAAAGGTTGGGGATCACAGTTCTAAGCTATACAAATATAAAAGCAATCTCAGTAAAAATAAATTATTTAAAAGTTCAAATTAGTCAACCTATCAAGATTTGGCTATCATGATTTTGAAAGTCATGAAGAGACATCTATTGGCATGGCAGAATTATGGCACTCTTAAATGCAGCATTATAGTTAACCCCTCCCCACCCCAAAACGGAAGACTAATTTTTACAGAAGAGAAGAAATGTGAAAGGAAAAAAATAGTTTTTTATAAGCACTTGATGGCCCAGAACATACTTTGCAGATTATAACCTTTTAATATTAATCTTTGGTTAAATGACTGTGTTTAAAGTTATATAGAGATAAAGAGCACATTTTTGAAATTAGAATATTTATTTGTATCCTGCCTTTACAATTTTTATAAATAATTCAATGTGGTGAACACACACACTACTCCTTTTTCCTCCCATTTTCCACATAACAACAGCCCTGTGAGGTGTGTTGGGCTCAGAAAGTCACCCAGCCAACTTTTGTGTGTAAAGCAGGACTAGAATTCGCAGTCTCCTGGTGCTTTGACTGCTAAATACTAAGTTGAGTGCTAGCAACAGTTTTAGATTTGTCTAAAACCTAGTTACTTAAGATTTTATTATTATGCCCTCTGGTGCACATCAGAGGTAAAATCATGCTGAATTAGAGTGAATCACCGCATGAAGAACAGTCATTCTATCTGCTGGCAATTCTGAAAGATGAGCAAAAGTGGAAGAACGTCAGTAAATAGGAATTTCCTATTTGTATCTACTGATTTTCTGCTTGCTTGATCTCTTCTTCGTAGCTAGTGGTTTGTGCTTCTCCCTTCTCCAATATCTACAGTAGAAGAAGATCAATAGAGAATCAGTGCAATGTTGTTTCTCCATCTTTGGCTTCTTAACTTGGCACAGGAGGCATCTGCCTTATCAGCAAACAGAGGAGGGTTGAGATAGGTCTAACTGGCACCTATGAATAATCTATGGCAGAGGTAGGCAACCTGGAGAGAAGGAAGGGGCAGGTATGGGACCGCATGCATGACGCAAATGGGGGCGGCGCGAATGTGCATGTGATGCTGGGGGCGGGGCTAGCACCCACACAATACTAAAAATGAGGCTAGCGCCTGCATGATGCTCAGGATAGGGCTAGCGCCCATGCAACACTGGGGCAGACCTAGCACTGGCACAACGCTCAGGATAGAGCTAGCGCCCGCACAATGCTCAAAGTAGGGCTAGCGTGGGGGGGGGAGTGTGAACTCACATGTGCGCACACTGGCCAACCATTCACGTGGCCCGGTGGCCAAGAGACCATGACCTGGTAGTGGGCCGTGGCCCACAGGTTGGAGACCCCTCACCTATCTATCTGACTAACCTTGCAATCTACCAAACTATACAATTGTATCACTGAAATAACTCATTGGGGAAGAGAGCAGAACCAGAGCCACTCCTGTTGAGATAACTGGTTCTCTTCCCATGTTCTTACCAAAAATAATTATATTCAACATTTATGGAGTATCTTCTGAGCATGCAAAACATTTCACATATTTTCATCTCAGAAATAATTCACCAAATACTGTCTACTATTATAAAGCCTACTTTCTAAAAGGGAAAAAAAAGACTTACTTCTATTGTCATTTTTTACCAATTTACTCGGATAACTCTTGTTCATGGGCACATATGGTTCTGGAGGTGGCAAGTCAGACAGAGGATGGAAGGAAAATCTGCTTTCCCACTCATCTAGATACACGTAAAGGAATTGTGTAACATTAGTACATACATAAGGCAAATCATGTTAATACAAATCTCCCTAATAGACTCATTTAAGAGAAAACAGACTCCTATATTTTAGAAAATATTGGATTGACAACGTATTATTTGACAGTGCATATATTCTGTAAACCAATTTTAAATTGGGAATACATCCAAAAGGGAATAGACCTTGTTTAACATGGTTGGGCTTATTTTTCATGAGACTGTCAAGGCTGGCATTATATTTCCAAATACTGGAACATCTTTAGTTTAAAATCACTTTATTTTCCCAACAGAAATACATCCCTTTGATTCAGGATAAGCTGACATCCAGCATGTCTTGAATGCATTAGGTTTTTCCTTAAATTGTCTCATGACTCTATATACCTTTAATTTGTTTCTAACAGGACTTTAACATTGTTACAAATATGTTTAACTCAAAAGAACATCCTTTCACTTCCTCTTTCCATTCTCATTAACTTCACCCAGTCCACATATATAAAATCAAGCTGGCACTGGTCATGAAACCGTATAAAAATATTACTAATAACATGCGAGCTTACAACATCTATTTATTCATCAAAACATTTCTAATATCCTTGCAGCAATAATGTTCTGTAATATAACTGATCCAGATAGGCAGGCACAGCTTCTCTTATAGTTTTTACCTCTAGCAAGATTGATGCATTTAATGAATAAAATACAAGGGGTAATATAAATTCTAAGGTGGTCAAAAGTTTGTTTCCTCCATCCCCTGTGTTTGTATTGAAAGGGAACATCCTTTACTTATTGAAAAAAAATCAGCCTACTTTGATTATTATATGAACTGAGTGATGGAAAAATGTGATGTGCGATCCTCACATATACAGTGACAGGTATGGAGACTTCTCACCATATAGTTCAGGGGTAGTCAACCTTGGCTCTTTTATGACTCGTGGACTTCAACTCCCAGAATTCCTGAGCCAGCACAGCCAAGGATGAGTACCCCTGATATAGTTGGAAGAGCTTTCTTGTATTCTGGAAGGAATGCAGAGTTCCTTTCAGAACTCTGTAAGAGAAGAATTTTCCATAAACACCAGGACTCTTGGTAACATGGTGTTGAAAGCAAGAGGGGGAACAAATGAACCCAAACACCATCAGACAGGCCTCTAGGGAACCATCTTGCTTTGAGGTTATGGGAGAAGAAGCATAATTAGATCAGTGATTAGCCACCATCCAGCTCATTATGATTGCTCCTTTTGCTTCTGTCTTCTGGAGATGGCAGAATAAGCAAGAAAACTTCAAGCATAGTGAAGGTGGCCAGAAGAACAGATGCTGTGCAAATCTGGAGTCTCCTCCAATCTGCTACTTCTCTCTTGTTTACTCTCAACTTTCACTTCCTTTTTTCTGTAAATCTGAAGCCAAATAACTGTAGAGTGACTAATTTATGTAGAGCAGGGGTCTTCAACCTTGGCCCTTTTACGACTTGTGGACCAACTCCCAGAATTCCTCAGCCAGGCGCTGGCTGAGGAATTTTGGGAGTTGAAGTCCACAAGTCGTAAAAGGGCCAAGGTTGAAGAACCCTGATGTAGAGAACTGAGATAGATATATAAATCGGAGCTGAACAACCATAATGAGCAGGATGGTGGCTAATAACTAATCTGTTTATGCCTCTTCTCCCATAAGCTCAAGGCAAGTTGATTCCCCAGAAGCCACAATGATGACATTGGGATCCTTTGTTTCCTTTCTTGTTTTCTAGGTCTACAAGAGTCCAGCATATATGGAAAATACTTCTCTTGCTGGGAGGAATGCAGAGTTCCTTCCAGAAGGCAAGAAAGTTCTTCCAATTGTATGATGAGAGCTCTCCATACCTGCCGTTCTATATGTGAGGCTCACAAATCACATTTTTTCCACCACACCACTGACAAATTGGAAAGTATCCGTCCAGAGAATCTGCTCACCATCACAGGATGAATCCTGGAAGCCATTTCGGAGGGCAGACGAGGAGAGTGGTGGAGGAGGGGGTGGTGGTGCTCCAGAACCTGGTCTGTCAGGAGGGGGTGGGGGCACAGCCCCACCTCTGGGTTTTTCAAATCCTCCTCTTGAGGGAAGCTGGGGAGTAGCTGGCAGTGCCCTGGAAGTACTTCCATTCCTGGTTAGCGGAGGCGGAGGTGGAGGAAGAGATCCTGAAAATAATGAGAACATAGAGTAGTTACTCTACATTTTTGGCAGAGCCAATCACTCTTCTCAAACCTCCAAACAAGCCAGCCCCCTCCCTCCAATTGCCTTATTTTGGGAAACAGACACCCATTTCTTTCTCATAAGCTATAAGCAAATGCTGGTCAGCTCTCTGTGGTAAACCAGACCGGAAACACAACTGGGTGAGATCATTCTACTTTATTGTAAGGCTACATCAACAGAATCTTGCAAGCCTTGAGGCACAAACTTCCGTTGCCATTTTAAATTGCTTAATCCATTAGGGCGGGTTCTTCCTTAGTTTCTTTCTCCGATCATTAAGCCACTGGGGGCTCCTGCCTCCCTTTCCGATCCTTTCCTAGGCAGCTTCTCTTCTCATTCCCCAAAGTCATTCACATAATTCCATTGTAGTTGTATGTAGAAGGAATACAACACGAATGCTACTAACAAGCAGAGAAAAGGGAAGCACCTGCAATGATGCGTGTCAAAAACAATCATGAAGATAGTTGTGGTAGCTCAATCTCACAATCCTGTTCCTTTTACACACATGCTATGTCAACACACATGCAAAAGGAGTTAGGCTTTGATTGTGCTGCTGCAACGATCTTGAACTTTTTGATGCCCTATTTCTACTTCAAGAGCCTGTTTGGGGCACGGTTAAAGAACTGGACTAGAAACAGAGAACCTGTGAGTTCAGTCCCATTTTAGGCACAAATTTAGCTGAGTGACCGTGGGCCGGTCATTCTTTCTCAGCCCTAGGAAGCAGGCAAGGGCAAACCACTTCTGAAATCTGGCCAAGAACACTGCAGGGCCTCGTCCAGGCAGTCACCAAGAGTCAAGACTGACTTGAAGACAGACAGACAGAGAGACAGAGAGACAGCCACTGTAGACACTATTAATTCACATGTCCTCCTAATTGTTGATATTATTAATTCAATTTGTATGGCCACTCATTTAATCTAAGTGACTTTGGGCAGCCATCGAGCTTGAACAAGCTATATGAATTGCACTCCAACAATAAATAGCCCCTTGACGTTAAAAACCCATTTGGTTTAGTGGTTAAGACACCAGGCTACAAAACAGGAGAGCATGAGTTCTAGTCCCGCTTTAACCATAAAAGCCAGCAGGGTGACTATGGGATGGTGACTCTCTCTCAGCTCTACCCACCTCATAGAGTGGCTGTTGTGAGGAAAATAGGAAGAGGAAGGAGTACTGGGCATGTCTGCCACCTTCAGTTATTTATAAAAGAAATATTAAAATAACCTAAAAAAATTGAATCTAAAAATCAGTGAGTTTGAGACCAATCCCCCTGCTCCCTACAGGGATGGAGGACTGCATGATCAGGAAGTCCTGGAGAGCCAAATTTCA